TTTAAGGTTTTGTACCTTCATCTAGTTTCACTCTTGATAATTAGCCAGTGGTGCTATGTTGTGTGTGTGTGTGTGTGTGTGTGCGTGTGTGCGTTCAGCAATTAATAGTTAAATTTTTTAAATTTTAATTTAAGGAAATTTTTAAAAATTAAAAAAAAATTGTCTTACTACAGTACTTGAATGATTGGAGTCAACCACCAAGTTAGTGGTTTTCAACATTTTCGGAGCTGTGACACCCTGTCAGGCTTCAGCTGTGCTCCGCCTCCTCAGCTCCCCTCCAGTGCTGTGGGTCAACATTTACTCATATTTAGAACAGCTCGGAGCGTTTACGAAACAAAAGTGAGAATGCTATAAAATTAGGACTGGGAATTGTTGCATGGAGGAAAATTGCCTTTTGTGTGTAAAAGCAATTATTTTAATATGGTGGGATAAGGACATAGTATTGGATATGCTATGTAAATACATGTGTATATATATGGCACTTTCCAACTTCTGGTGTATTCGCTGGAGAACATAATTTGGTCAGGTAGCAGTCTTCTCCGAGATGCTATAAGTATGATTAATCAGGAGCTCAGAGTTTTAATTCTTCTGGTCGTAAGTTGATCCTCTTAGGATAATGATTTCAAAATGAAAGGAGAGAAAGCTGAAGGGGAAAAATAGATGTATAGGGTCTGACACTCAGTTAGATGGCATGGGAATCTCGGTCTGGCTTTATAGCTAAATCCATGATGCTTTGCCCAGCTCGCTGGAGTTAAAACCTGTTCCCATACACTCCAAAATTGTTAGTCTCTTTGTTAATCAGATGGGACTTAATTTTGTATGGTCTCAGTACAACATTCACATAATTACACAGTTCCATTAATACATAGCCAGTTTCGAAATGGCAGGATGTATCACAAAATGAGTAATAGTGACTCTGGGAAGAACATGACTGGTGCCTCATCTGGGGCGGGGGGGGGGGGGGTGAAGATTGTGGAGATCTCTGCATCTCAGGAGCCCTTAGGCCAGTTTCAAGTGTGATGATCCTGCAGCAGCACTTCTTCCCTGGGCCTGCTCTGCTCCAGAGGGCGCAGGTTTATTCATAAGGCTCTCACCGTGGTTCAGAGCGCTGTGTTTATTTTATTTTTTTTAAAGGATTTCCCTTCGCCTCTCCTCCTTTTTTCTCCTTTGGGCTCAGAGACACCCAATTCTGGAGGTCCCAAACGTCCACCCTTCAGTCTCTCAAGAAGCCTAGGCAGCACGTTCCAAATCAGGATTTGCTTCAGAATCCTCTGGGGTGGGTGGGGGAAGAATTGATGAAAACTCAAGTTTCAGATTGTACTTAATCTGGTTTGAATCTTTTCAGTTGCAAAAGGTATAATGGAAGAGTCGCCAGAGACTGTTTGTTTATGTATTTGTTCATTCATGCATTTACCCAACAAAGATTTTTTAATGGAACAGGTGCAACGTGCCCGGCTGTGTACTAGGTACTGGAGATCCTGCTGTAAACAGAAATGACTTTGCCTTTAGGGAACTTACAGTGTGGGAGCTAAGGGGGCAATGAGGAATGAATCAAGAAAAGGCACAGCAGAAGGAAAATTTAACTGCTCATGAGGGTCAGAGCAGCTAGTTGTGGACAGGAGTTTGTTTTGGAAAAACGGGAGTTTTTCTAAGCAAAGACTCAAGCCTGTGCACAGGTATGAGATAGGAGAGAGAGCGGCGCGTGCTGGGAACTGCGTGTGGTTCCTTGTGTGTGTAGGGGGTGAGAAGACAAGAAGTCAAAGTGGCCGTCAGTGGTAAGGGAAGAACATGAGAAGATGTCCCAGAGCTAGAAGACAGGAGGTACAGACAGAGTTCACCGAGTGCCCTGCCAGTGAATGCAGAAGACTCACCCCTACGCATTTGTTATTAATTTCAGATTCCAGGGATGAATACACGATCCTAAAAGCTTTCAGAAAGGAAGAGATATGTGCAAAGGATTAGTAACCAGAGTGGCATCAGACTGCTCCGCAAACACATTAAAAACTAGACTGTGAAGTAATACTTCCGAAATTATAAGGCAGATTATTTTCTACCTAGAATTATATACCCAGCCAGGCTACCAGTCAAGACATATTAAGACACACAGGTTCTCAAAAAAATTATATTTGCGGCATTCTATTCAGGTGGCTAATGGGAGATGGGCACTGTCAGAACACGAAAGCAAACAGAGAGGGAAGCCAGGACGTCCGAGGACATGGCCCCTCACAGAGGAGGATGGGAGGGAAATCCTTGGGATAATGGTGAAGGGAAGTCCTTGTCCAAGTTGACCTCCAGAGCAACCCCTCCAGCCAGACTGAATCAAGATAAAGGGTCCAGGAGGACTGTCTCCAAGAAAAAAATAGAACAAAAAAATTACCTGATGTTTTTACTTTATTGAGAGTAATTTTGCAGTTCTTAGGAGAGTTGGATGAGGTCAATAAGTGTTTGGTGTATAAATAAGCTAAGCAAACAACAAAAACAAAACAACTAATAACTCTAGAAGAAGCAAAAAGTTCCCAAGAAAGGAAAAGTTATTGAATTCTGCATAGCACTCCTGGGAATAATATTTACTTTGTCAGACTACTGTAAACCCTGAATGCTGACTTAACTACGTGTTATAATGTAATTGGAAGCTCGGAGAACTAGGCGAGTGTGACCTACGGTATTCAAAGAGGTAAAGGGTGGTATGTGAGAACTAAATCCTTATCTTCCACAAGGAGAAATGAGCAGATAATTTCTAAAAGAGAACAACCAAGAAATAGCAATATAAACATTCTTTAGAAATGTGATAAATACCGGGCCCTGGCCAGTTTGGTCCAGCGGTTAGAGTGTCAGCCTGCGGTCCGGAGAGACCCGGGTTCGGTTCCCGCTAAGGGCACGTACTTCGGTTGCAGTTTGTCCCCGGCCCTGGTTGGTCGTGCGGGTGGCAGCCACTCGATGTGTCCCTTCACGTCAATGTTTCTCTCTCTCTCTCCCTTCCTCTCTCTCCCTCCCACTCTATCTGTACAAAAAATGGAAAAATATCCTCGGGTGAGGATAAAAAAAAAAAAGAAAGAAATGTGATAAATACCGGAAGAAAATGCTAAATGAGTTGAAATTAGTTCCCTCTACAGAGAGAATTCCCTCCCCCCCGGGGGGGGAGGGGGGGCAAGGGAGTTCTAATTGTATTCTACGCTTTGTAGTTCTGTTTTATTGTTTATACTTTGATAAAAATAAAAATGATTAATAAAAATACAGAACTAGCATCTGTAACACTGAGGGAATCTTGCAAGTGGTATTTTGCATTTTGTTGAACAAACTGTTTAGCTTGCATATTCTGTGTACCTACCTTGGGCACATTCCTAAATTTTATCCACACCTTTTTTTCTATGATTAACTAATTATGAATAGAAGAAAAGTCAGTAAGGTAAATTATTGACTCAAATATGTGTATGGGCTATACCTGGATACTATGGTTTTTTTTCGCCTGTGTTTTCATGTAGACCCTATGCCCTCTTTCCAACTTTAGAGGATAAAGTCTTCTCTCTTGCCTTTTCCCCAAAGTAGAGCTGAGCTTGACTTCATATAAGAAATCAGCATTCTTGCCCTGGCCGGTTTGGCTCAGTGGTTGGAGCATTGGCCTGGGGACCAGAGAGTCCCAGGTTCGGTTCCTGCAAGGAGCACATACCAAAAAAAAAAAAAAAAAAAAAAGAAATCAGCATTCTTCAGTGACCTGATGTTCCTAAAATGGGATTGCTAGTCAGCTGCACGTTGAGATCTCTGAGCCAACTGTTTACATCACTCAGCAAAGCTGCGTGCTGTTTATAAAGACATTTTGTCAATTTGAATAGATATAAACTGCCCTCTCCCCTTTTTTATTTTGAAAATAACCAAATCCCACAGAAAAATGACAAGTAGTAAAACACCCATAAACTTTCACCTAGATTTGCCAGTTCTTAACATGTTGCCACATTTGCTTCCCCTCTCTCTATACCCACACATTTGGGGGAGGAGGGAGTTGAATCATTTTAAATTAAGGTGTGGATATCACACTTTAGTATGTCTCCCAAGAACAAGTACATCCTCATATAAAACCAAAATACCATTATATTTGCCATAGAGAATATAATATTATCTGATATAAAGTAGATATTCAGATTTCCCTAAAATACCAATAGTACTTTCTGTAGAGTTTTTTTGATCCAGAGTCCAGTGATCACGCATTGCAGTTAGTCGTCATACTCCTTTAAGTCCTCCTTAGGCTAGAAGTTTCCCTGCGTTAAAAAAAAAATCTTTCATGACATGGACCATTGTGAGGAGCTCAGGCCAGCTGTTTTGTAGAGTGTCCTGTACACATGAATTTGTCTTTTGTAAGATGTCTCATTGGAAGATTCTGGTTTATAATTTTGGCAAGCATATGTATACAAACTTTCTTATCCACCTGCTTTTTATGCACGTTCAGAACTGTGGTGTTGTGATTTCTTGTTGGTATGTTTTTGTTTGAGTTTCCTGCTAATCTGTGGTTTGGCATGGGATGTGCAGGGAGGACACTACCTGGTGCATCGTAAACACCTGAGAGTGCAGAAAATGTCACTGTAATAATCTCTGGGAGGGGACATCTGTTCCTCTGGAAACAAGCATAATATTTTTTTAAACATTCTTGGCAGAGGTCTTTGGATGACTTAATATACTGTAATCAGGGCAAGTTTTCTACTCTTTAATTAAGTCTCTGCTACAGTATACAGTCCAGGGAGCCACTTCGGAAAACACTTGGCCAGCTTTCCTATCACCCCTAAGCTGAAGGTTTCTGCTCTTGGACTCCAAACACTGCCTGTGTGTTCAGCGTGCAGCCCCTTGGCTGTCCCTGGCCGGGATGCTCCGTTGCTTAGGTTATGTATATTTTGTGTGAAGTGAGCACAGCGCGGAGAGGTGGCATGCCGCACATGCCCGGCGAGCTATGCAAGCTGGCTGTTGGAGGCACGCTCCCGGCTGTCAGGGCTCCGCGATAGGAGACCTGGTGACACAGTAGCCTTCAGGCAGAGCTCCTGGGATGCGCAGGAAGTGCGGCTACAGGTTTTGTCGGGGGGAAATCTGAGCCATTTCTCTGTGGACAGCTGTGCTGCAGAGTCTGGGCAAGTTGCTGCTGAATTTTGCACGGGCTTCCAGGGTAAGTGTTTTCTTTTGATTTGTTTCTAGTCCTGGTTTTCCTCCTCCTGCGTCATCAAGGATCTTTCTGGAAGTTTCACAGGATTTCTTCTACATTATCTAGAGCAGGATTGATTCAGAGAATTCATTCCAGTACATTCGTAATCCAACTTTTCTTTCTCTTTCTCTCTGCAGAGTTTGTGGAAGTATAATACTTTGTCATTATGCGATGTCGTCTCTCGGTCCCTCCTTTGTGCAAATTAAATTTGATGACTTGCAGTTTTTTGAAAACTGCGGCGGAGGAAGTTTTGGGAGTGTTTATCGAGCCAAATGGATATCACAGGACAAGGAGGTGGCTGTGAAGAAGCTGCTGAAGATAGAGAAAGAGGTAAGGTCGTCTCCTGCTCTCAGAAGTGGTCACAGTGACACTTATGTAAGTTTTTCAAGCTAAAATCCGAGGCCACAGGGTGCCAGGGACCTAGCAGGGCCTTGGGGCTGATCCACAAGGCCCTTTCCCAATTTCCATTCCGGGAGCCCCATAAATAGAAATTAATGCCGCGTGTGCTGTAGGGTTGAGTTCTACTAGGGGTCACCTGAACTGGGAGGATTTCTTTCCGTGGCATGAAAGACCGAATGTTCTCTGAGCAGTCCTGGAGGGGAGGTAAGATTCCAGACCTTTTCCTTTCCCTACGCAGCCAAGAGGGGTCAGTAAAGAGTAATGTGTCAAGTTTGTGTCCCCTTTCCGTTTTCTGTCGTGGATTTGTGGTCCTCAGAAGTTGTCTTTTAATAAACAGAAAGCGTTTCCTACTGAAATATAAGCAATACCAGTTTTTTGGATTTCACCTCTGCTTGAAGCCAAAAGTGATGGACTTTGTTTAGCAAGGAATTAGCAGGTGCCAGACAGAGCTGCCCTACTTGTAAAACCAGAAAAGGCTCTCAGCGTCTGGGACATGTGCTGGTCCTCGTCACACTCAAAGCCCATAGGCCCTTCCTCTTTCTCAGGAATGTGCTGCAACAGCACCCCCAAATTCAGTGTGGTCCCTTGAGAGGAAGGCTGATGGGGGAGCCGGCCTGCAGGGGCTCAGTGGCATTGATACGTTTTAATAGCTGCCCTCTGGAGCTTGTTTTGGTCATTTCTATTTTTTTGTTTCTATTTCTATTAGTCCTGTTTTGACCAACTGTTGTTCTTTTCAGTGTCTTTTTGAAGTGAACTTTTCCATAAATATCTTTTAATCTCCCTGAATGATTTTCCTTCCGTTTTCGTTAATTGCTGCCAGAGAGCTGTGGCATTGCCCCCAGCAGGGCCGTGTGACCGTGTGATCACCAGCCGCGCTTCCAGCTGCGGAAGCCAGGTCAGAGGACCGAGGTGCCTCTGCCTCGGGGTGTCGCCGGGCTGTGGAAAGCGGAGGAAGCGAACACTTGTAGAGCTGACACGAGCGCGGGACAGAAAGGGGCTGTGCAGGACAAGTGTCCTCCTCCTCATTTCCTGATCAACACATTCTAAAACAGTAGCCAAATAATAAAACCACTTCTCACTGTGGACTGAACCTAGCTGCTTTTATCTAGTGAACCCTTAAAGCCATCGTAGGAAGCGTTGTTAGACCCTTTTATAGAGCGGGAGGTAGAGCTTAGAGAAATGTGCTGAGCCTCCCCCCAGGGCGGGCAAGTGACATCCAGGAGATCACATCTCCCGCTCTTTACTTTTCTTAACTCTGAAGCCTCTAGTTGACCAGGTTAAAGAATAGAAAATAGACCAATTCCATCAAATTTTAGTCAAGGAAGAATATAAGTGTGCTAATATTTTTATACATTAGGTCGTGCAACTTTATTACAACAAACACGTCTTTATATGATTGCTCGATGCGAGACTCGATGAGACGTGAAACAGATTTTGATAGGAAAACAATAATTGCAACCCATTCCCAACCCCCCCCCCCCAATCCGTACGTCACACCGTTTTTACTCCCTTTGAGAGAGCCAGGAAAGTGACAGGAAGGCCTGGGGGTGAAACCCGGAATTAGAACTGCCAGGTCCCACTGTGGGGTAGGTTTTGGTCTGGGTGCATAGCCTCTTGGAATTGCGTTGATTACAGTAAACTGCAAGAGCATAACTCATAAGTAACTCATAAACGTGTAAGGAGGGAAAATAGAAATTCTGTTTCTGCTTTGGAGCTTGGCTTAGTCAGTGATTGTCAGTGATAAGGAGAAATGGTAAATTACTGCAGGGCAATATTGCATCCCACACTTACTGAATCAACATGAATTTAAGATGTAGAAAATTTTTGCTAGGGGTTGGCAGTTATTGGAAAGGAAATATGCATTTCTTGTGTAAATATTTGTTATAATTTATGAACTAGGTATGGACTTGCTGGCTAGGTGTTTTCTAAGTGGTAAGATAAAGGTAATTAGCTCTGGGTTTTCTTTTAATTTATAGATTCTGTCTTATGTCACTGGTCATTTTTGCCAATGAGTTTTAGAAGCAGTAGAATAATTAATAATATGTTCATAGCTGATTCATGTAATTCTTTAAGAATGACCAGATTAAATGTATGTTTTGTGAATTTAGTAAAAGATGGAGAGAATATATTCCAAACTCTTGAACCTTGCTTATGAGAAAAGATAAAGACTATTTATTTTCACTTTTATTTGTAGTCCTCTTTTTTAATGAGCATGTATTACTTTCTTCTGCTTTAGTGTGTATGTATTACTTTTCTAATTTAGAAAATAATGAAAAGTGGCATTTACTTAGAATCTTGTTAGATTTTTAAAACTTTATTTTTTTAAAAACTTTTATACCTAGGGAAGAACTATAAGAACTGTACCATGAAGTCCAGCATATCCTTCCCCTAAAATCACCATTTGTTAACATTTTGCAACATTTACTTTTTATATATATTATTCTTTGATTTATACATATTCATATATTTTTTTTACTGAAACATAAGAGTAAATTGCAGATGCTGTGTCCATTTATACCTAAATACTTTAGCATCTTCTAAGAACATACCCATAATACAATGATCAAATTCAGAAAATTTAACATTGATTCAATAACAGTACCTATTATACAGTCTATATTCAAATTTTGCCAATTGTCCCAATAATGGCTTTTTATGATGATTATTTCCCAGCCCAGCATCTAACCCAGGATCCCATATTGCATTTAGTTGATCCGTTCAGTTTGCTTTAATCTGTGACACTTCCTCTACCTTCCTTCATCTTGTAACTTTTGATGTTTTGAAGAGTGCAGGCCAGTTTTGTAGACTTACCAGATTTTAAAACATTTTGGATATATCTGATTTTCCCTCCCTCTTGCCTAGTTGAAGGCTGTGTAGTTTTGGTAGGAATGTTACACAGGTCAAGTGTCCTTGTTGTATCTCAATGCAAGTCCACCCATGTCAGTTTGCCCCATTATTGGTGACATTAATTTTGAACCCTTGATTAAGGGGGCTCACCCAATTCATCCACAGTAAAAATATCTCTTTTCCCTTAGTAATTAATAATTAAACTGTGGGTAGATACTTTGAGGCTATGTAAACATCTTCCTTCAACAAACATCCCATGTTATTAGCATTTGTTGGTGATTCTTGTTTGAATCAAGTATTATTATGATAGTTACTGTGTAGAAAAAAAGTTCTAGCATAAATGAGTCTTCTTCCTCCCCTCCCTCCCTCCCTTCCTTTCCTTATTTATTCATCCATTTATTCATTTATTTTTTGTTTCATTGTAGCTGTCTGGATTCCTTTTCAAACTCAACATGTTGCAGCCCATTTTATTATTTTTCACTTTAATGATTAAATTGTCCTTGATTTAGCAAGTAAGAATCCCTTCATGTTGGCTTTTGTGTCTTTTTGATATGTCTTCATCATTTTTTTTTTAGCATTTCCTTACTTTTTGGCACAAAAAGATGTTCTGAGATCATCTAGTTCCTGCCCCTTTCCTGGGGTCAGCCATTTCTTTAAGAAGCCCTGAGTTGGGGTACATGATTTGGAAGTATGATATTTAGAAGCCAAGATTTGGATATTAGATTTTCTTATTGTAGTCTTTTAAAAAAAGAAGCCTTTATTCTTTTGAGAGAAAGAATGAGTATAGATAAGTTTTATTTATGGAAGCATTTAATTTAAAATTTAGTATCATACATCTAGATAGCTATGATCAGTGATACACTCCTGTTAGAAATATAAATTGGTAAACTTTTTGGAGAACAGTTTAGCAAAATGTATCAAAAAGTCTTAAAATATATAGTACCTTTGAGGGAGAAATTTTACTTCTGGGGCTTTATTCTAGGAAGTAGGTAATAATCAGAGATGTGCAGAAAAATGGATATAGACTGTTGTTCATCTTACATGTATGATGGTGAAGAACTAGAAACAACCCAAGTGCCCTGCAACAAGGTATCTTTCAAATTATGGTACATCTCACACACACAGAGAAGGCAAATACAGGAGGTGATGGATATGCTAATTAATTGTGGGAATCCCTTCACAATATATATGTATTTAACATCATTGTGTTGTACATTTTAAATATGTTACTATTTTATTTGTCAATAAAGCTGAAACAAATTATGCTACATTTGTTTAATGGAAATCCATTGCATTTGGAAGAATATTTAAAGAGTTAGGAAAATGCATATAATATACTGCTAAGTGGTAAAAGCAAGTTCCAAAACATTTTAATATGACCCCAAGTGTCTGTTTGGTGTCTGTATGGTGTTTTTATCTTTCTTATATTTCTTTTATTTTCAGTATTTTTCTATGATGGTCTCATATTTCTTCCATGCCCCCAACATTTTATTATGAAAATTTTCAAAAATAAAGTTGAAAGGGTTTTATAGTGAACATGTGTATATCTACCATCTAGGGTCTGTCATTAATATACATATTTGCTTTATCACATATATATCCAGCTATGTATCCTTCCATTCATCAATTCACTTTGATGCATTTCAAAATATTTTATAGGCATCAATACATTTCCCTTTAAATTTCTTGAAAGCATGCCTGTTATAACCAGAGTTCAGCATGTGTTTGCAGTTTTATTTTCCTTTGAGGTAAAATTAACATACAATGAAATGCACGTATCACTAAGTTTTGACAAATGTGAACACCATGTGATCCATATATTTACTTTTATAACCAGGAAAAATTCAACTAAAAAAAGTATAGTTCTGAAATCTGTGGTACTTTCTAAGGTTGTTCAAATGAGTTGAGTTTTATAAACCTCTTTTGTATGTCACAGATCACTAATTTTCCAATCTCAATATGCGCCTCTAAAATGTTTGGTGTCCACTTTGCCATTGCTTTTCCATAGCAGCACTACAGGGATGTCCATGGTAATTTAGCTTGTTTATGTTAGTTACAGATTTACTTATAGTGCACTATTTATT